TAAAAGTGCTCTAAAGATTTAGGTAACAGATCTGATTTACTTTTTATCAGGAAGTTAAAAGGCTTTCAACATTTTATAGACTTTGTGAGAATACCATTTGAACCTTGTCGATGACCCGATGTTGAAGGAAAGAATACAGGGGAAACAGACATTAGCTGATAGACAAATGAATTTACTGTTTTAGATGTACTAAGTTGTTGTTAAGTGCCGTGGAGTCAGTTTCAATTGACAGCAACCCTGTACAGGGTTTCTGAGGCTTTAAATCTTTTATGGGAGCAGAACGCTTTATCCTTCTTGTGCGGAGCCACAAGAAGGGCTTGAACTGCAGACTCTGGTTTTCAGTCCAGTGCTAATACCATATAGCCACTTTGCTTCCCAGATGTACTATGGTGATTGCTAATTTTTCTTCCTTATTACTTTACACAGTTAGTGATAATTTTAGCTGAAAGTTACAACATAATTTAACAAGAAAGAAAAAAACTGTAGCATCATTTTCCTCACAGAGACTATAATTAGTCACTATAGACTTTGTGGCCAACCAGCCCTAGCTTGAAGATGAGCTAACTATTTACTGTTTCTCCTTAGGCCAATTATGTTATAATCTAACTAGCCTCAGTTTCTGAATCTGTAAAATGAGTATAATACACCTCCTAGAATTATTGGAAGAATTAAATAAAATTATTGAAAGCAACTTGAACTGTGCCTGGCACGCAGGGCACTCAAATTTTAGTGTTATTTTCTTCCTTAAATTCCTTTCTTAATCATTGTCAAAGATAACTTGTGAGGAAGATACTACCCTTCAGGAGCTACTATAGAAAAAATAATTCCCAATAAAATATTGTAGTACACTGAAACACCTACCTTGTTGCCGTTTAAAATCCAATTTGACTTCAGAGTTCACCTTGATCAGAGTGATAGGGTACCCCTACTTTCTCTCAAATAGTGTTTGAGAAGTGCTAACCGCTGTGGTCTTTATAACATGTCTGTGAGGGCAACAGTAGAAATCTAGGCAGATAGGCTGACTTACCCAAGGCAAAGCTAGAAAATGAACTCTTACTGTAAGTTTATTTCTATTTTTATTGCTTTAAAGCAATACTGGCTCTGAGGCAACTAGCAAGGACTAAACCTCAGTGTGAAAAGGGACTTTGGGCATATTTTAATAAAAAGTACCCTTGGAATGGGTTCAAGATGGATCTGATCTTACACTCACTTTTCTCTGTAGGAAATGGTATTCTGAGTTGTACCGAAGTGTTAGTACTGCTTCCTTAAGTATGCTGTGTGATGTGTGTGTATATACACACCCACTTAATAGTCAACATTCAAAGTATAACATTGAGCATTTAAGTGAAAACAAATCTTTCCCTAGCCTACTCCTAAGTCAAGGTAGAGGTTATTGAACAGATGACATATGATATTAATGCTAAATTACCCTGTGTAATAAGAAAATTACAGTACCTAAATTAAGATAGTAAAGAAAAACTATCCAATGAAGTAGTGTAGAATATCAAAATAATATCCTCAAGTGAAATCAGAGACAGAAGCGAAGCTTTTCTATGTTTATATCTACCAATTTTGGGTTATGATGTGAGCAGAGCTAATGCAATAGTAATGGTTTCAATTGTCCAGGAAGTATATTCTTGTTTAAACTATGTGGCTAGAAATTTGTTAAAATCTGACAAATCTTCTCATTAGGTTGTTTAATATAAAATCACAATAATTGTTTCTGGTCTACACATACTTCCTTTTGCTATTAGGTATACTTTAAGAGCCTAATTATTATGAGAAAATAGTACGGCCAAAGAATAAAAATGTACGACGTTTGACAACTTTAAATAAGCACTAGAATTTCTTAAAGAACAAGCCTCACTTACAGTTAGGAAACAATATTTATATTTAATGTTGAAAAGCCAGGATGTAGGAAAATTTTGCTAATTTGGAAGGTGACCTTTAAGTGCACCAAAACCAAATAATTTGTAGGCTATGACATAGGGCACATTCCTACAAAATTTGTGTGAATACTGCTTTAGTGGTTCTTGAAAGACAAACAAAGCCAGCTGGAATGAAGTCTTTACCCCCCTCCTAAATAAGATGGAGACTGACAAAGGGGTACAGCAGCACTCTTTCAGAACTCTCCATGAAAGTGAGGTCTCCGTGGCAGCTAATGAGACGGCGCACAGTGGAAAACAATCTGTTTTTAAGAATGTTTAGATCAAAAGTAATTTCTAATCTATGAAATAAAGTCTCCTCAATACCCTTCATTCACCAGTAAAGCTTTTATGTTTGTATTATTTACTTCAATCAGATGTTTTCAATTTTACCTTTTTTCCTTGCACAAATACTTGACATTGTTCACCAATACTGACCAAACAATTTTATTCTTTTTCTTAGAAAAAGAGAGATTTTTGAGAGTGAGAATGAAAAAGAGAGAAACATCTTTGCCTAAGTGATTTGCAAGCATCTGTGCTTTAAGCTACTTTTTATGAACACTCCTTAGTAAGTGACTCAAGGTAAAAAAGTAGAAAAGCATCCAATGTTAGGAAATTGCAATCCAATACCATGTAATTTAAACCTGCAGTTGCTTCTCTTGTACTAAATGACATACAGATGGGTAGCTTAGTTCTCTCAACTTTGGGAACACAATTGGTCTTTTTGTATGAATGAACATATATTAACAAAAATATCTTGGACAGAATCATTTAATTTTACAGGTTTTAATTATATATGCCATTGGAAAGAAGAATTTTAGCCAAGATATTTGGTCACATTAAATTTGCAAATAATGAATTTCTTTGACAAAATTAACAAAGATAAAACTCTGACAATTAAAACAAAAAGATAACTTCTAAGATGTCTATTTGTTGTTGTTGTTAAGTGCCGTCGAGTCGGTTCCGACCCATAGCGACCCTGTACAGGGTTTCCAGTGAATTTAATAAAAAATCCAGTTATCACATTTATCTCATATAAGGAAGAGCAGTGTTGTATCTAAGTTGTTGACAGGCTTGTTCTGAAAGGAACATTTCTATTTATCCCTCTGACAGTATTAAAAATAGAAGTAGTAGTTACTTGAATAAAGCTGAGTGTAACAAGGCATCCAGTCAGATGAGAGACCAGCACACCACTAGTGATATGTTAAGCTGTTCCTATGGCTCTTTCCAGACCAGATTTGGGCCGAGGTGCTTAGTGGAAGGTCAGTAGAGGCACTGTTGGACAACCTGCAGGCCAACTCCAGCACGCATGTCTGCTAGGCTCTGGTATGCTCTTTTCCTGTCTCCATATTTTCTCCTAAAGAATCTGCCGCTCTGTCTTGGTGGCTTTAGTTCTGGAAGGTGATAATTTACTTTAATTTCTGAGTAACTGGCTGGTTGTTCCCCCATCACCTAGTGTAATTTCTGTGATCTTATGTAATATGAAATTTTAATGTTGCTGTTGTCATGTGTGCCATTGATTCGGTTCCAACTCATAGTGACCCTATATAGGATTTCCTAGAGCAGCTGGTGGGTTTGAACTGCTGACCTTGCAGTTAGCAGTTCAGTGCTTATCCTACAGCACCACACCAGGACTCACCATGATATTAGGTGCCTTTGAGTCAAGACGTAGAAAGCATTTCCATTCATAAATCTTATTTATTTATATTTCAAAAGAAATTGGGTTTCATATTCAGGAAACTAAGCAAGGTTTCTTTTAGTTACTACTTCAAAACATAGTAAGAAATCTTTTCATTTAGGACCATCTGCAAGCCTCTTTCCCAGTGTGATGGATGGCAAAGAAAAGCAATTTCATTGCAGTGAGTAATGGTTATACCGCCCCAGAGTTATATTTCTTTTCAATCATTTGTGCAGGTAAAATAAAATACTATATATAAACAGGTGTTGTCTGAACATTTTACTGCAGTCTGCTTAGGTAGAAATAAAAGCTGCCATTGTTACTAGAATCCCATTAAAATTATTCTACCATTCAAGTATATTTAATCAGTGAAGTCTTCTTAGATAGGAGGGGGCTTCAACAAGTTTGTGGAAAATGGAATTAAAGATAATGGATTTTTTCCCCATGAACTTTTTGAAGCGTCCTTGTGTATTTTGCAAAATATAATCATTTCTAAAGTCGGCTTCCCTTTTTCTCTTTTCTTTGTTCCCCCACTCCCTGTTTTTCTCACCCTTTTTTGTGGGGAACTTCTTGACTCTGCATTATTAGAAATGTCTTCTCGTATAGTCAAAATGACTCAAGGTAAAAAAGCAGAAAAGCATCCAATGTTAGGAAATTGCAATCCAATACCATGAAATTTAAACCTGCAGTTGCTTCTCTTGTACTAAATGACATACAGATGGGTAGCTTAGTTCCCTCAACTTAGTTGCGTGGTTTACATGGTAAGATACAGTCTTTAAAGAGACATTTGTTTTTAAGAACTCTATATAACCCAGTGAAGTGTCTGACAGAATCACACAGAACAGCAATTCGTAATCGTGGGAAAATACATTTTTAGGGTGCAAAGAAAAATAAATAGGATGGTAGTTAAAGCACCCAGAATGGAAATGTGACTGATGAGTGTTTCAAGCTGTTCAACTTGATAAACTTTTCAATGGAGAGTTATAGTTTAACGTCTTACACCCATCATCTTATCTATATGTGTGTATGTATAAGTCATACGTAGATATAGAGTTATGCTTATTGAATTCATTTGAAAATACGGGTTTCTGGGCATTGGGAGGCAGGGATGTACTTCTATTTTGTGAGTGTTCAGTGAGTTTTTGGAATCACATGCTAGAAGCTTTGGCTGTAACACACTATCACTGCTCCAGTGGAATCACCTGGGTCATAAGAAACATTCTTGTTCAACTTAGACACACAGTCAGCTAGGGGTCAGGTAAGCTTTTCTAGTGCGTTAGGGACTGGTCTGGTCATTGACAAGTGAATGCAGAAGCTGTGCTCTGGCAGTGTGCCAAAGCAATTATCCAGGATTCAAGCTAAAAAGCCTCCTTCTCCCATATCCTCTCTCTTTTCAGGGTCATGTAGGGATAAAAAGAACTGTAAGGTGGTCTTTCCCCAGCAGGAACTGAGGAAGCGGCTAACACCCCTGCAGTACCATGTCACTCAGGAGAAAGGGACCGAAAGGTAAGGTGAGCTGTCAGATAAAGTCCTAATGTAACAGCTCGTCTTCTTCATCCTCACTCTGGGAATCCTTCTTGCCAATGAGTTTAAAGACTTCTTTGCTTATTTGCTAGTCTACAAATGAATATCCCTGAAAATGGCATCATTTGGGTCAAGACTAAGTTTTATTTACCCCTCTCCCCATTGAATGAACACTCTTATGTGAAGTCATAGGGCGTTTGTTAAGGGCCTGTTTTTAGTTTACTACAAAATGTGTGGAAGTAATAGCGACTTAGGTACATTTTTTGGGAAGACATCACAGTAAGCAAAACCATGAGGTACACGGCGCTGTGCCAGGATGCTGAAATTTTGAAGGTGGCCATTGTAAGGATAGACGTTTGGGCTGCAAAAAGAAGGTAGCCTAATTTAGTTCCTTTCTACCCCACTCTGATTTCTTTTTGAAGCACATGTGGAGAAAGTATTTATTGGCTCATTTGTGGTTGGAATGTCAAAAATTTTCAATAACTGCCCTCACATGGCTTTAGTCCTTGGAAGTTCGCCCTAAGTCCTGAAAAAAGAGTTTGTTCACTTCCAAGACTGTTTTTAGTGAATAAAGACTCTCTCAGCTGATTCTAGCTCAAAGGTAACTTTCTAAGGTCCAACCATTTTGTTGTCTAATTTATACCATGGAGCTTGGCACAAGGCCATAACTTACCTCTGATCCAAATTTATTAATGATGTAACTTCTTGTTTTCATTCATGAACTGAATGAGCTCTTTACCACACATGGGCCCTTGTTAATAGGCAACACTCTCTTCCTGTCATAATATATACTGTTTACTGAATTTACCAAATGTTGAACCTCTGACAATCTGCCCTCCGCACACAATAAGCTAGTCGTAGACTTCAGTCTCAGCCCAGGAGGACCTCTACTTGTCCTGTTGTGTACATGACCAGTGAAATGATTTAATGCACACAAACAACCAGAGATTAGGTCATTCTTAAAAATTCTGTTTATAAAAAAATTGGACCTCATAAAGAGGGTGAAAGGATAATGAAAACAAGCTGCAGAGCACATAGACTTTTTGTTGGGCTAGCACAGCTGATTTGTATTAACGGAATGACCTCCTAGCCTTTAAGATTGTTAACTTAGAAAAATATTCCCTTAAAGCTGGAATATTCCTTTGCAAACCCAAAAATAAGACTTCTCCCACTTGAAGTCTTGGACCCCTCTGCATTTTCTGATATACACTCTTGGATACTGTAGAGTAGCAGAAATCTTATGTAATAATGTTCTTTCAGCAAATCTAAACTAGAGGCAATTTTTAAAATAGGAAACATTTTTTCCTAAGCATTACACAGCTAGATGGCTTGATTTTTATGTATTTAAACTGCATTAGCTCTCACATTTTATTATGTAGATTTGAAATCTATTAGTTATGTTCCAATTTCCATGTGTTTGGTCTGTTCTCATTTTAGTACAAAAAGCCCTTGAAAGATTTATTAGAGAAATACTGATTAGGCAAATACATCCTATTAGAAATAATATTAATGTTTACTTTTTAAATCCCCTGTCTATTCTTTACCAGTGCCTTCGAAGGAGAATACACACACCACAAAGATCCTGGAATATATAAGTGTGTTGTTTGTGGAACACCATTGTTCAAGTAAGTGTGTGTGTTTGTTAGAAGTCTGTGGGTATGGATAGCAACAAACTAGTCATTGCTTAATCATATTAGAATCTCTTTATTACTGCCACTTTTTATTTCTATTTTTACCTCCCCACGAAATAAGAGTAATTCTCAACTTTCATGGTAAATGACCAGTTTGATAAACTGAAAAGTTTTGCGCTGTTTGGATCTTTAAAGCACCCAACATGAACTTGTTCATCGCACTATCCATGGCACTTAGAGCTCTGAAAAAGATTTTGGTGACCCTAGAAATTACTGGCATAGTTAGTTTATTTATCTTCAATGATGTCCTAAAATTGTTTTCTTGGTCATAATGAAAATTTTTCATGTGTAGCTTTCAGATTGAATAATATGCCCCGAATAAATGATTACTTATGCAATGAAGGACAATATCTTTAGAGAAAGTAACATGAGTATTATAACAGATACTTAGACATATGAAACACAATGATCCAATATGAACTTAAAAGTTTTTGCATTCATCAAAAACATTTAGTTCAAAGATCCCAATGGTTTACTACAAAACAGGAAACGCAGACATTTTGACCAAAATAGTTCATTCAGACAATGTATTCTGGAGATTATGGAAAGGAATCTTTACCAAAGAAAGGAAAATCTTTACCAAAATTTATTTATTTCCCAGGTGGGAAAATTCTAGAAACCCCATACTTTCAACAGGATCTTGATTTGGGGAAATAAAAAGACAGAAACCTGAACTGAGAGTAAATGTCAGTTATATAAAACAGAATTACAAAGTTTCTTAGGAGAAATGAATAAACAAGGATCTGATACTTATAGCTTGTAAAACACATTTAATATCTCTCTATAAATGTTTCCCTTTAAAAACACAAGCATTTATAGATTTTCCAGAAATAACAGGAAACAGTAGTTTCCTTGAAAAGAATTTTCTAAAGTTTAGAAATGTTTCTTAAATTGCATAAACTTTATTGCACATTGGTGTTCGTTGAGAATCTGTTCTGAATTCTTATGTATTTATTCTTCATGTTAAAAACCGACCCTTCAAATTGTCACCCATTTCCTCTCAGAAAACACACGGCCTTATATTTCAACACCTTTAGCTTGTGTCATAATAGTTGATATAACACTTAAGTTGGTTGCTGAGCCATGTTAAACTTGTTAATATCACAAATGGTAAAAATTGGCTACATCCCCTTTGCTTTTTGTTTAAGATTCTCCATCCTTTCCCTATCATGTGATTCAGTCAAGAAGTGGATCTAAGGAAAACTTACTGTTTTAAATAAAAAACAGAACCATTGTAAATGAAGGATTTAAGCCATGTGAGAGTTTAAGCCACAAATCCTAAAAACAAGACCCTTCTTCAAATATAGGTACTGGTAGGAGTCAGGTTTCATATTTGCTGTCATACAGCCTCTTTAGTATTCTTGCAAAGAAAGCTTTTATTTTCTGAAATTTGAAGGAATATGATTTCATAATTTTATTCTGATTTCTGTGTTTCTTGTTTACTTTGTTTCTTGTCTTTTTTTTTTTTTTTTGGTAAAACACATCCCTACTCCAATTGTCTTTACAATGGAGTCCACAAAGACTTTCTAGGGGCATAAAGCATGGGCAGTTTTGAGGGAATCCTTCTTCTGATCCCTAACATCTGTAAGCATATTCTCCTGAAACTGAGATGTCTCGGGAAGAGTCTGTGGTCTGCTGCTGCTGCTGGTGCCCTAACTCCTCTGGCTGAGTTGCTCTTCTCCTACTTTACAAAAGATGCCATCCCTGTCACCCCTTGCACATCTTACTGTGACTCATTGCCTTGGAGTCCAGTCTTCAGGACGTCAAACAAAACAGCAGTTTGGAGGCATTGCATCTGAATGAAAGACCCATGAAAGTAAGGCCAAAAGGCACTGGCAAAAAAGCATTGAAATTGTATTTTGTATTGGCCAGGACCTTGGCTGGGATCTCTTTTGCTTATGTACCTTCCCATCTACTGTCTATCTGTCTTTTCTGCCTACCTAAGTAAAAAGAATGCCATGAGAGTATGTACCAACATGTTTATGTGAATTTAAAAATCATTTTTTAGACATTGAATAAGTCGCAGTTGGCCCGTTTATTTGACATTGTGAACTGGTTTTGCAAATTAGGTTGTATGGTGGACTTCTTCATTCATTAAATGATCTAAATATGGAATGCCAGCATGTTAATCTTTTGCAGTTATTTAAATTTTTGGTAAGACACTTTAACTGTTAATTTAAAATATAATAGAGAATACATGTTAGCACCCTGTCAGGATAAAGAAATTATACAATAATTTGAATAGGAAAATTTAACATAAATATTAAATGACTACTAAAAGTCGTTTGAACTGCAAGGTCGGCAGTTCAAGCTCACTAGCTGCTCCTTAGAAACCCTATACAGGGCCGCTATGGGTCGGAATTGACTTGACGGCACTTGACAACAACAACAGCAACAACACTATAATGGGATTTTGGTAATGAGGTGTTGACTACTATTAAGTAAAGAGAAATTCCAAAGGAATAAGAATTGTTGTTGTTGTTAGGTGCCATTGAGTCAGTCCCAATTCATAGTGACCTTATGCACAACGGAACGAAACACTGCCCGGTGGTGCGCCACCCTCACAGTCATTGTTGCACTTGGGCTCATTGCTGCTGCTACTGTGCCAATTCATTTTGTAGGGGGTCCTCTTCTTTTATTGCTTCCCCTCCACTTTACCAAGCACGATACCCTTCTCCAGGGACTGGTCCTTCCTAATTTGTCCTGGCTTCTAAGGAGCATTCTGTTGTACTTCTTCCAACACAAGTTGTTTGTTCTTCTGGCAGAACATGAGAATGTTCTTCTGCAACATCATAACTCAGATGCATCAGTTCTTTTGTTGTCTTCTCATTGTCCAACTTTCACACGCCTAAGAGCATATTGAACATACCATGACTTGGGTCAGGTGCACCTTAGTCCTCAAACTGACATCTTTGCTCTTGAACACTTTAGGGAAGTCTTGTGCATATGATTTGCCAAATGCAATATGTTGCTTGATTTGTTGACTGCTGCTTCCTTAAGAGTTGATAGTGGATCTAAGCACAATGAAGTCTTAGACAACTTCAGTCCTTTTCTTCATGTATACGAATGTTATTTATTGGTCCAGTGGTGAGGATTTTTGTTTTCTTTACATTGAGGTGCAACTCATACTGAAGTTTGTGGTCTTTGATCTTCATTAGTAGCTAAAACAAACAAACAAACAAACTTTTTATTGTGAATTGAGTGAAGGTTTACAGACAGTATCATCCGTTTCACATACAGCAGCTCATGTACTTTGTTGCATCTCAGTCACTGTAATTCCCTCCATGCAACAATGGCTATCTCACTTCCTCCCTGTGGTTCCTATTTGCATTCCACCCACCTTCCCATCCCTTCTCAACTTTGTCCTTAGGAAAATGTTGCCCTTTTGATTTTGAATGACTGACCATTCCTTACTAGTATGTTGTTGTTAAGTACCGTGGAGTCGGTTCCGACCCATAGCGACCCTGTACAGGGTTTCCGAGGCTGCAAATCTTTACGGGAGCAGAAAGCCTCATCTTTCTCCCGCGGAGCCGCTGGTAGTTTCAAACTGCTGACCTTGCGGTTCGCAGCCCGATTCGTAACCACTACACTACCAGAGCTCCTTGTCCTCCCTATGTACCTACCAACTCCTTGATTGAAAACTGGGCCATGAAAGTGACTTCCTTTCAAGAACAGTAAGCATGGTCTTTTTTTTTTTTTTTAAGTAATTTTGAGTTTTGTTCCATGTTTTCTCTCCTTCTATCTTGCACCACCCTCTGATCCCTTTCAAAGAAGTTGGTAGTGGTAACGGGGCACTGTCTAGTTCTGTTGTCAGAGTCATGGAGATGGATGCTCACATGTCCCATTAATCTAATGGACAATTGACTCTAAGTTTCTTCAACTCATCAGCAAGTATTTTTAAGTCCTCTTCACTTTCAGTAAGCAAAATTGTATCATCTGAATATTGCAGATGCCATGTTCTTCATATAATCCAGTGTCTTGGACTTATTTGCTCAGCATGCAGATTGAATAACTAAGGGAAAAGAATACAACCCTGGCGCATACCTTTCCTGGTTTTAAACCATTCAGTGTCTGATATAAGAATAGCAGATATAAAAGCAATTACTACCTCTAGAGCTAAGAGAGAGATCAAGGAAGACTCCCTCCTTGCTCTGCCCACAGGGCTGAGATACAGATCTTGTAGGAGAGGGTACAGCTGTCATTCACAAGAAGCTAGAGAAATCACTGTAGTGCCCAAATGATGGAACTTGCTGGAAATCTGACCTTTCTGGAAGTATGCTTTCTAGAATTTACTGGAAATCTACTCTCTGAAGTAGTTGGCAAAACTGTTCACTGATAGGTGTGATAGTGGAGGCATTGTGTTATTAACCACCCAGGGGAGTGCTGAGAGAAGCTACTGGCCACCAGGTGCTCCTGATATCAGTGTAGTACAGGCGTATGACACAACAGAGAGAAGCTTCTCGAACGCAGGAGTTGGGCTCTGGAGAAGCTGTGTACTCTACAGAAGCTGGTGCTGGGGAACTGCATCTGCAGAAGGGTCCTCGCACTGGAGAAGCTCCCAATGTGTACAAGCTTAGACTAAGGAAACCCCAAGGGTTCCAGGAGCCTGCTGAGCAAGCAGACTGGTACCAGGAAGGAAACATTGTCCTTGTATAGTTTCTATCCTTCATTCTCTACTGATAAAATTCAGCATCATGCTAGCTGACAAAGAAAAAAATTCAGGGTCCAGCTCCATTTCAGCAGAGCAGGCAAGTAAGGTAGATCTGGAGGTCAGAGGGGACAAATTGGTAGCAAAAAAAATTTTTTTTCCAAAATTTTGAAAAAAAGTTTGGAAAGCACTTATTAGTCTAGTGAATTAATAACATCACTCTGCGAGATCCTCTTGGGGTAGCTGATGTCATGAAATGTGGGAAACAGTTGAGTGTGTGTGTGTG